TGGAAAGATTTCAAAAAGAAGGAAGAGCTGTTGGTGTTTTGTTATTTGTGGATTGATCAACAGATGTCCAGCAAGAAAGGAGACCTTTCCAGTAACCCATTTATATGGAAGTCAGAACAATCATTATCCCCTAAGTCAGTGTTCCAAAAGCCCATTAAAAGACAGGGGATATAGATCTTAAAACACCAACTTGCTTATGCCCTTAACTTTGAAGCAGGCTCATACGCTCGGTGGAGAGTGCATTTTGGCTATTGCTGTGCTCTCTGTCCCTGGTGGCTGGTCCCATTGGGACTGGTAGATGAGAAGGCAGAGAGGTCAATAATAGGTGGAGCCAGAGCCAATGGCAGGCAAAGCCAAATAGTTTATTTATTTACTAAATTTGTATACTGCCTTTCATCATAAGATCTCAGGGCAGTTCACAGAATAAAATACAAGATAAAAACACAAGTAAATAATTAAAACAGTTAAACAATAACCTCCGCTTCCCACAGGTACATATTAAAAACCTGTAGAATATTAATCAGCCAAAGGCCTGGTTGAAGAGGAACATATTTGCCTAGCACCTAAAAATATATAATGAAGGTACCAGTCAAACGTCCCAGGAGAGAACAGGGAGAGCTAGTACAGAAGTCAGTACAGAAAATGTGCCTTCTTGTGTTATCACCCTCCAGATGTCTCATGGAGGAGGCACGCAAAGGGCCTCAGATGATGAACACAGAGTCTGTGTGAGAGGCGGTCCTTGAGGTATTGTGGTCCTGAGCCATTTAAGGCTTTATAGGTCAAAACCAGCACTCTGAATTGGGCCTACAAGCTAATTGGCAGCCAGTGCAGTCAGGCCAGGATCAGTGTAATAATATGCTACAACCGTCTTATCCCAGTGAGCAGCCTGGCTGTCAAATTCTGCACCTGCTGAAGCTTCTGAACCATCTTCAGAGGCAGCCGTATGTATAACATGCTGCAGTAATCTAACCTTGAGGTTACCAGAGCATAGACAACAGTAGTTAAGCTATCCCTGTCCAGATAGGGGTGCAGCTGGGCCACCAGCCAAAGCTGATGGAAGGCACTCCGGGCCACTGAGGCCACCTGAGCCTTGAGCAACAGCAAAGGATCCAGAAGTACCCCCAAGCTACGTACCCGCTCCTTTAGAGGGAGTCTAACCCCATCAAGAGCAGGCAACCTCCCACCCAACTGGTCTAGGAAACCACCCACTAACAGTGTATCAGTCTTGGTTGGAAGGAAGAAGGCAGGCAAGTGGGGACTGGCTGCAGGCAGACTGAAGTTGGTGAGGCAATGCCCCATTTGCCCTAGTAGACCAGCCTCCGCTGCTCTCCGTTAGAGAAAGGGGCATAGTAAGAAAGGGGATAAAAGCGCCGTACACTCCCTGAGCCCAGAGTCTCTGATGCAGGCTGGAAGCTTGAACGCAAAATTGAACGCAACTTTGACCCTGTAATGACATTTTCCCCAGATGCAGAAAAGAATGGAGCAACACTTGTTCGTTGTTAACAATATTGTGAGTGCTCATGCCACTTCTCTGATAGGTGAGATTCTCCAAACAGCACAGCATGAATGTGGTTTTGCTTTCTTTTGCAAGGCGGCCACTGTGGTGAGACACTCCCCTGCTTTCAATGCTTTTGGTGTTTGCAAAAGTTTTGAGGAGGACATTCTGCTTCACTTATGTGCGTCCCATCACTTCCAGATGAAATCCTGTGACATTTCATACTACAAATATTTCAGGGCAGGGGGTTGTCCCACTTTTGTTGCAATAGTGCCCCTCTTGACAGTGATAGTGTGGGAACACTGGGGAAGTATCACAGGACAACAAGTAAAGCAGAATGACATGTGGATGGTCCAGTATGAATCCACCACAAACACATCATTATTGCATCAGTGTCATGGTGCAAACAAACAAGCAAAAACAGTCTGGAGGGTCCCTGATTTTATTTACAAATATACAGTTATGTGAGTGTTGCGTCGGTGGAGGCACAAGAAGAGTCCATGGCTTCCACATCAGAACACTAAAAAGTACCAGCCACCGTCCCAGAATGCTGCTAGCTTACAGAGCTGAAATGTGACTCTGTCTCACTTCTCTTTCCCCCTCTTTGACAAACTACAGTTTGTTCCTCTACACAGACACCTGGTTTATACCATCCTTGCACAGGACTGGGAGGAGATAAGAACATTTCATATTGGGTATCTCCTAGGCATTGTGAAGGCTTGAGTTGGGTGGGGAACCTCAAGCCTGGAGGATTAATGTGGCCCTCCAAGCCTCTCTATCTGGCCCTTAGGACTCTTTCCCTCCTTTCCAGGCTTCACCTAACACTGCTCCTTGAGTGTTTTTTGGCTGGCTGGAATGTGTCTTTGAACTGTGATAGTGCCTCTTGCTTCTTTGTGTGGATGTGCACTGAGAACTACTGATTTTTCCATGGCTGCAATGTAAAGCAGGGGCTCTCTGACATTTCAGACCTTCTTGCATGCAATGCATGTGCTCTGTTACTGAACTTTCAGCTTTCCTGAAGGAATTCCACAAACAGCAGATCGCATGCTTGGATCCCACAGACTGGTGTGTTTCCTTTTGCCCTGTAAAGAAGTAATGGCACTCTGTCACTGATCACAAGCCTGCAAGAGATGCTAATCTGTAAATCTGGTGGTACATGCTCATTAGGAAAACAAAAAAATCGGAACTGAATCTTAGAACCTGTTTTTAAGCCCCATCTCTGGGGTGCTTGCTTTGGCTGAGTGTGCAGTGGATGGATGTTAACAAAATCAGGTCTATTAATTGTGCCAGAAAGGTTAAGATGGCTAGGTCAAGTGGAATGATTAGATGATGGAAGTCTACTGAAAAAGTTATGTCAGGAATTCAGTTGGAAGGAGACCAATAAGTGGACTATACAATGTTTAGAAGACATCTGAAGGCAGCCCTGTATAGGGAAGTTTTTAATAGTTGATGTTTTATTGCACTTTTATATTTGTTGGAAGCCGCCCGGAGTGGCTAGGGCAACCAAGTCAGATGGATGGGGTACAAATAATTAAGTTGTTGTTAAAAAGACAGAGGAGGATTTGGAGGAGCCATGAGCAGTAAAAATGAGAAAAATTCACAGAAAGCAATCATGGAAGAAAATTTTAAATTTAAATGCTATATTTGTGATGAGAGGAAGGGAAAATATCATTTTGATTTTTGGGTTGTATCCAGTGTTAGCACTACTCTAAGTAGACCCATTGAAATTAATGGGCAACACCAAGTTAGAGTCATTAATTTTAATGGGTGTACGCTGAGTAGAACTTAGTTGGACCCATCCCTTTGTATTGATGGTGACCACACATAGCAGGTGTAAGGTATCTTTGGCCCCTCTAGATGTTGCTGAACTACAACTATGATGCCCACCCATCCATGCTGGGACTCATGGGAGTTATAGCTCTTCTTCTTCTATTTAAATAAATAATCTTTATTAATTTAAATTACATACTTATACAAAGAATTTACAGTCTCATACTACAAAAAGAGAATTAAAGAAAAAACAATTAAGAAAAAAGAAAAGAAGAAAATACAGAAAAAAAGAAAGAAGAAAAAGCAAATTTATATACATAAAAAACTTAATCTTCCTAATTAATACAATGAAACACTTAAATAAAAAATGCTTCCAACAAAACAAGTCTTCCAATCATTCTCATTGTACTGTTTATACTGTTGTTTTTTCCGCACAGTTTTATATTCATTCATATTGTTCCCATCTACTCCACAAACGGGGAGTTATAGTTCAATAACATCCAGAGTGCCAAAGGTTCCCCTAAGCTGATATACGCACTTAGTCTTTCTAAGGAGGGACAAGCAATTGCAAGGGATAGAATACATTTCTTCTCACTTTCCTACTTGGAAGCCAGCCCTCCCCCACAATCAATGTAATGGGCTTGCCCTGCCATCTAAGACTTAGGGACATAGGAAACTACCTTGGTATAAGTCAGACCATTAGAACCCCTGTTTTGTGTGCTGAAGGTCCCTGGTTCAATCCCCATCTAGGTAGGATTGAGGGAGACTCTTGTCTGCAATCAGGCACACCATCTATGTGGGGCCCGAGCCCCTCCCAATTTTCAGTGTAGGGGCTAGGGCCCCCAAAGTTCTGCAGTGGCTGCCACACACACTGCACAACATGTCAGCATGCTCCACGATGTGTGAGAGTGACGGCAGCATGCCGTGGGGTGTGCTCATGTCATGTGGGCATGTCACGGAGCATGCATGCACGGTGTAGTGATGGTGCACGGCCACGAGCCCCCCCCCCCCATCGTGCCAAACTGATGTGCCACACAGCATCAGTCTAGTGATAGGGCCGGCCCTGGATCATCTCTTGGAGAAAGGTTGCATCTGCCATATGATTCATTAAAAAATTCCCTCTGGCTCCCAAATGGCCAATAGATACTGGTTCAGCTGAAGGGGCATCCTTACCCATTTTACCCTGTGTGGCTGAATATGTTCATAAAGTATTATCCATCTCTCTCTCTCTCTCTCTCTCTGTACATCAGATTGCAAGATACAATGCACATCTTTTTTTAAGAAAGAAGAGCAATTCTGCTGTGCAAACAATATCATTGTTAAAGAGCTATTAGTTTTGCTGTAATAAAAACATTTTAGCAGATAGCGATGGATCTCTCTATTACTGCAATCCATGCACTTTGTCCCAGTTTCCTTTTGTCTAGGAGACAATTTACAATTTTATTACTCTCTGCTGCATCTCAAATTCATTCTTTCTTTGGCAGAAACAGATCAGAAGGAGATACTCTGGCTTCATATAAAAACATAAATACCCACCAACTGGGAAATTGTCATTTAGAGTTAGCCATAAACATTTCATTCATGTTGGCTCAGCCCTGCTGTAATGCTAATGGTGTGAGCTTTTCTAGTCATCTGTTTTGCTAGATTCATTCTACACTGAGGAGGGAAAATAAGTTCAGCTTCCTTCTGTTGCCACATGTTTTAATAAGAAGAACAGTAGTATGATAGGATTGAAGGGGCTGTAGCTCAGTGGCAGAGCATCTGCTTTGCATGCAGGAGGTGCCACATCCAAGCCCCAACATCTCCAGGGAGAGCTGGACCCTTCCCAGTGCCAGTCAGTGTAAACAATACTGAACCAGATGAATCAATAGTTGAATTCAGTATAAGGCAGCTACCTAATATTCCTATGCTTCTGTGAAAGGTCTTGTAGTCCAACCTCCTGTTTGGTGTCAGGCATCCAGAGTAAGAACATCCCTGATGGATGGCCACCCCAAACTTGCTGGAAGACCTCCAGCAAGGGCAAGCCCACCTGCCCTGGAAATTGTTTCTGATGGCAAACTGCTCTTGTCATCAGGAAGTTTCCCTCAATATTCCATCCAAATCTCTCCTCCTGTAAGTTCAGCCCTTTGCCATGTGATAGCCCTTCAGGTCCTAGAAGAACGTATTCAGTGTTAGTCATACTCAGTGTAGATGTATAGTCTTGTTAATTTCAGTGGGTCTGCTCTGAGTAAAACTTAGCCCTCGTCTGCTCTATACATTTAAAGCAGTAGCATACTACAGTGGTACCCCTGGTTGCGAACAGGATCCATTCTGGAGCCCCGTTTGCAACATGAGCAGAACGCAACCTGCGTCTGCGTGTCTGTGCGTGTGTGGTTGCGATTCGCCTCTTCTGTGCATGCGCGTGATGTCATTTTTTGTGTCTGCACATGCACGAGTGGCGAAACTCAGAAGTAACCCCTTCCGGCACTTCCCGGTCGCCGTGGGACGCAACCTGAAAACCCGCAACCTGAAGCAAACGTAACAAGAGGTATGACTGTACTTTAAACAGTCATGGCTTCCCCCAAATAATGCTGGGAACTATTCCCCTCACAGAGCTGCAATTCCTGCAATTCATCTGGTTCCTGGAGTGGTTCAGCAATCAATCCTGAGAGGCCTGCATAGAAATTGCATTTAAAAAACCCTCTGAAATTGAAATTTACAGATTTGCCCGAATGTCCAGTGATGGTAGAGTTGGAGGCCTTGGTATGAGAATCAGGATGCCCCAAATGTCTTTGTTTACACCTGTGATATGTTAGAGGGCATGAGGACAATGAGATTATCCAGGAAATTGTATTCTGCACCTAGTATTATATGTTGAGACTATCCTACACTTTAATGCCTGGCTAATGTCTCCTTCCTTATCTTGCAGTGAAATACAAGCAGGCATCTTATACACTTACTGGGTTTCAGTAATTTCTGGGATGGAAGAGAGCGAAACATCCCCACCACTCACCTATGTCCATGGAAGCGGCTACTGTGGAGATGGGATTATCCAGAAGTAAGTGCATGGTGCTTTTAAATTGATTTGATGACACATCTAGGGATGTGAACATCTGTAGCCCATCAAATGCTGCTAGAGTACAACTCTCATCATCTCATCAGAGTTGGCTGCATTGGCCTGAGTGTCGCCTCTGGTGAGCAGGCTAATCCCTAGTTTAAGGCATAATGAAGGTGTGAAGGGGTACCTTGAACATTATCTAGTCCAAGCACCTACTGATACAAGAATGAGACATTGGGGTCATAAGAGATAGCTCAGTGAAGATGTTGACCCAGTTTGCAGCAGCTGTGCAAATTCCATGCTAGGGATCATTAGATAATGAAAATAAAACTGCTGATACAATATTGCCATTATTCAAATCTATGGTGTGGGCGCATTTGGGGTGCAGTATACAGTTCTGGTTGCCTCACCTGAAAAAAGGGTATTGTAGAGTTGGGAAAAGGTTCAGAAAAGGGCAACCAAAATGATCAATCATTACCATGAGGAAAGGTTGCAGATGGAATCTGGGTATTGGGATCTATGAGCAAAAATCTGGACTGTAAAAGTGATTACTAAAGGTTGCATAACTTGTCCCCCAGTTGATCTACCGTGCTGAAATGGTTGTGCATGCTTTTAAAAGAGCATTCATGTTTTCTTTATGCTACATATAGACTTTCGTTGTACACTAAAGTGTTTTGAGGTCTGCTACTAGGATTGGAGGGGAAATAAATTCATTTCACAATTGAAGACTAACTTACCCAATTCACACTTTCAGAAATAATATGTGAACCCAAGCACAGCCAGCTTTCGATATCCACACTTCTCCAAATTTCACAGTGCAGTTCTCGCACTGTGCCCGACCCCCGTTCTACCATTCTCATCATGTGTTGAGTGATGTTTGGGGGTCACTTCTGGGTTCAGCATCATGCGTGCATGTGCGATCACACGTCTTTCAGGCAGGGGTGAAACTAGGCTTTTTTCACCTGGGTCAAAGACCCAGTTTGGCCCTTTGCTCATTTGCGCGCACACACACACACACACACACACACACACAAAACATCAACAGGCTGGGAGCCTCAATGGTGCCCCTCTGGGGGCTTCACCTAGAGCAAAAAACCTGGCTAGCCCCTCCCTGCCATTAACTACAGCTCTGATTTCATGCAAGTGTTAATCTGTTGTTGCCTGTATACTAGGAAGAAGTATGCACAAAATGAACATATAATACAAAAATGCATATTGGGGAGAATTGTAAACAGATGTGGAAATATTGAAAACTTAAGAGTGTAAAAAGGAGAAACTGAATTTGACAGATTTGCCGATCCTTACAAATGTTTTAATTTTTCTTACTTTCCCTCAATATACATTTCACTTTATCAGCCTGTAATGGGAGAAGGAAGTAGAAGAGGCAGAAGGGGTTATTTGGACCATCATAGCATTTATTTCCCCCCATTTTTTTATCTTGCTCTCAGGGACCTCGGGGAAGAGTGTGATGACATGAACAAGGTCAATGGAGATGGATGTTCCCTCTTTTGCCGTCAAGAGTTGTCCTTCAATTGCATCGGTAAGTGTCTTTGGCATGGCATGGCTAGTGGCATAACTATTCTGGCTACCAATCAGCTGTGGGGTGAGGGTGGGGAGTTTATCGGTATGGATATGTTGAGGCTATCTTGCTTTTTCTGTGACTTTTCTTGTTTTCATTGGGGATGAATTTTGTGAGTTGTTGGTTTGCCGATTTTGGATTTTATGAACTTGGTATTTTTTGGTGGCTGTTACATGTATCTTGTGTTGCATGTATCTTTGGTTGTGAGCATCATAAGCTCCTTTTTAAAGCTTCTTTTTTGAAAAAACAACAACAACCCCAGGCTATAAAAATGTGTATTTTTAATGAGTGGTTGAGTTAATAACTTAAAAACCAGGGAGAGGTAGCAGGAGGTAGCTTATGCACTGTCCTGACACCAGAGACTAGATGCTTGGACAGAAGAGCAAACTCTCGAGTCTTGAGCTTTATAGGGCCTGGTTGATCAAGATTGGTCTGTAGGGTCAGCTGATGAAATTTTCAGGCAAGCTTAGATGGCACCCTTGAGGCACAATACTCAGTTGGCCAGGCTTGCAGTGATAATAGCCAGAGCCAAATTGCTTGCAGTCCAGGTTCAGTATCTCTGTTTCCTTGTATCATATGTGTTTATGCTTTGCACATGTTCCCTGCGGCTAATGTGTGCAAAAAGGTGAAGAAGAAAAAAAAACCCTGGCTTCATTGGACGCCCTGAGTTCTAGTATTACAAGAAAGGGAGAAAAACTCCTCTCTATCCTTTTTCTCCATGTCATGCATAATGTAATGCACTTCTATAAAGAGTCCCCTTACTTGCCTTTTCTCAAAACTACAACGTCCCCAATTCTGTAATCTTTCCCCCTATGGAAGTTGCTCCAACTCTTTGATCAGCCAGGACACCACACACACACTACAGGATTCAAAGTGCAATCTCATTGTGGATTTGTATAATGGCACTATGATATCTGCAGTCCCTAAACTTCTCTTCTTTGCATAGAAAGGGGGTTTATTTATTTCATGGCCATTGGCCTCCATTTATCTGTCTCAGGAATTGTAAACCTGTGGCCTTCCATGCAAAGGGTCCCATCACTTCTGACCACTGGTCAAGTTGGATGGGGCTCATGGGAGTTTGAGTTCAACAACATCTGGAGTGTCACAGGTTCACCAACCTTCATCTATCTTATCCATCTCCAAATCATCTGCCACAATAAATCTGTCTATCATTTAGGTACTACTGGTCCATGAGTGTAGTTAGGGGGAAGCAGGGGGGGGGCAGCTGCCCCCCCATCAAGTAAATGCATAACTGAAAGTAGAAATAATCAAGACTATTTGAAATACTCACTGAGGTCACTTGGATGATGTTGTGCATTCTAGTCATGCAACTGGTAACCCAACTGAGTGAAAGGTGTGGCTTGCATGAACGGACCAATCGTGTCGCAGGTAGTTCAGTTCTGGAAACTGAGTCCAAACCTCAGAGTGCAAACCTGCTGGGCCTGTCTATAAATGACTGGAACTTTTCCACAGGCTATTTATATTGCAGAAAGCCCTCAGACCTCAGTCGATTATCTAGTTCAATTTAGGCAAGTTCACAGTTTGGATCTGTGCGGAGTTCATAGCTAACGTTTGCTGTGAGCCAGGGTTTTATTTAAATATACTGTAGTTTCCTGGCTGTCATCGGTGTTCTAACTCCAACCCAGTCAGCCATACCTAGGACACATCAATTTTTTTGAAATGAATACAGGAAAGTTCTTGAGTTTTTGTAAGTTTTAAGACTTCAGCGCTGAAGCTGAAATACAATGCACCATGTGGAAGGAGAAGAAACTCAACAAAGAGCAGTTAGAAGAGCTGAACATAGCAGACCTAGTAAAAGAGGCAGAAATCTTTTACCCTGCCACAAAAAGGCTCTGCCCATCTCTCTTGCTCAGCCCTAGGGTGGTCATTCAATACTTTGTGGAGAATAAAGACTCAGCTAAGGTCGACCATGACAGGGGAGCGTCTCAAGGGGCTATGCTTACTCAGTGTGCACAGAAAAACTGCATTGGGAAAAAAGAGGAATTCGAGAAGGAAGTGCTGTAAAGGTCTCCACCAAATCCAAGAAAACTTGTTTTAGCGTGTGTGTGTGTGTGTGTGTATATATATATATATATATATATATATAACACAAGATAAGATAAAAAAGGTGTGTTCTTTGTAATTTTGCAAAATATACTTGTTAACCTCATGAACGGTACTCCCGGTGTTA